TTTAATATCATATAAAATTATAAATTTAAAATTTACACAATAATGTTGTATAATAATAATAATTGTAATCAATTTTTTTTAATAAAAAAAATAAAAAATTTACTAATGATTTAAATAATTCAATAATTAAATAATTCAATAATTATTTTATTTCATTGAAAATATAAAATTATAAATTTGAATCGTATTATATAGGAGTTGAGTAAAATAAGGAGGAACGTGAGTAATTACTTTTATTATGCAACTAAAAAAAAACTTGAATATCGACGTGCAAGATTAATATGAAGTTACAAAAATACCCTTCTACTGAGGCTTTTATACATCGGCGTCTATTCCCAACTACCCCCACAACCAAACCCAACCATTTTCCAAGCTTTTCGCCAGTGCTAGGACTCCCCTGCCTGCCACTACGCTTCAATATTCTCCGTAGATTTTGCATCATTAACATTAGATAATAGTAATCTATCATTTAAAGATTTCTGCTTAACATTTTCCACATTAATGCCCGTCGTTTAAGCCTATCTTGTTTGACACCAATCCAGAGCTATACAGCTCAACTCTCTCTAGCTAAATGGCGGCTGCCGCGGCTAATTCTATGCTACAACACTCTTCTTCTTGTTCCCTGAGGAACTCTCAATTGTGCCTCGCTGAATCAAGAAAGGCACAGCGGTTGGCATGTCATCATCAGTCAAGAAATAATATTGTTGCAAAGCCGATCAAGTGGGGGAGTAATTTTCCGTTGTTGAGAACAAGAGACCTGGCGCCAAAGAAGGAGGAGATCAGGGGATTGGCGGTGAGGTGTGCGGCGGAGGGGATAGAGAGAAGGATGGTGATAGGAGCGGCAGCGGCAGCGGCGGCGGCGGCGGCAGGCGAGACAAAAGTGGTAGTGCCGGAGCGGTTGAAGGTGGTGGCTTTGGTGGCGTGTGTGATGTGTTTATGTAATGCTGATAGAGTCGTAATGTCCGTGGCTATAGTCCCCCTAGCGGATAAGTATGGTTGGTCCAGCTCATTCTTAGGGATTGTCCAGGTAATCTCGTCTTTCTTTCAGATTTTGGTTGTTGGTTGTTGGTTTTTGGTTTATTTTATTTTCTTTTTCTTTTTCTTATATAAAATTCCTTATTAAGTTATTTGATTTTTTTTTAAAGAAAATAAAGAGAAAGAGAAGGAAAAATAGCTTTATTCCGATCTAGTAAATTAAGTTATTAACTAACAAATTATTTATGATAATTTTTTCTACCTTTTTTTTTATCTTTTTAAACTAAATAAGTTATAAAAATATAAATATGATTAATTCTCCCTCTCTCCTTTATTTTTTATTTTTAGACTATAAAAAATAATGTTGACATTATATATGGTTGTTGAGAAAGCGAAAGGCGGTGTTTTGCCGCGTACAAAGCCCCTACACTCAGTGCTGTATGCTTTGCGCATCTTCAAAATGGAAAATGGAAAATTACATCTCTTCTTGTATAGTGAGAGCCATAATTTTGTTAAAGTCTATTTTGCCTTATCTCAATATTTAAATTTAAATTTTTATTATTAAAATTTAAATTTTTAAAAGAAAGAGTTATTTAGTATAATAATTTAAAATTAATAATTAATAATTTTATTTAATTTTACTGTTAATAATAATTATTACTCTTAATTTAAATATTTTATTTATTAAATTAAAAATAATCATTAATTATTAATTTTAAATCACTATATTAAATTACCGCAAAATGTTGTTGAGGAAAAATTGCATCACTTGCTCCTTTGTGGTTGGGGATGCGCCGTGCCGTGCGCACATAACTCTTTGCAATTATGAGGATTGAAATACCAATTTTGTCCTTCAATTTTTAGATTTATATTAAATTTGTCCCTCGACTTGAGAAAATAGTAAAATTATTTTTAAATTTTAATTTTTAGTATTAAAATAATCCTCCAACTTTAAAGATGATACTAATTTAGTTTTTAAATTTTAAAAACAAATATCAACTTAATCCCTAAATTTTGATTACAAATATCAATTTAGTTTTTTAATTTTGATTTTATGTCAATTTTATATGTAAATAAAAATATATCACGATAGTAAAATATGATTATTTAATTTTATATGTTATTAATATTTAAAA